AATCAAGCTAGACTTCAGAAGAAAAAATTTAAATCCCAAAATTACCATCACTGCCTAACTTTTGATTTTGAATTTGAAGACTATTAACCTAGCATTCTAGATAATCTCAAGAGCCAGACCCTAATATTCTAGTGATGCATGAACCAATTCTTCCTTTTAATTGTGTCTGGAGACAAACCAGAAGCCAGAGCAGGCCACAGAATAGAGTGTAAATCTTCTGTGCAAATATGCCTGAAGCCTGGGTATCCAAGCTCCTGGGTAGCCTGAAAATGGTCAAAGCAATGCAGAATCAAAGGGATAGACAAATATGTGGTCACTTACTTCTCAGAAATTTTAACAAACATTCCATATGTTTTAAGTCCTGAGAATTTATCAACTGCTTCAGGAAGGCAAGGACCTTGTCTGTCTTGCTCACCACTGAGACTTAATATTCATTTCCTTTTGGTATCTATATGAAATTGCTATCAAGTGGTATAAATTGAAATTTCAGCCAGACTCAGTGATGTACACTGTAATTCCAGTGGCTAAGGAAGCTGAGGCAGGAAGATCAAAAGTTCAAAGCCAACTTCAGCAACTTAGAGAGGTCCTAAGCAACTTAGCAAGAACTTGCTTTTTCTTTCTTTTCAATTGCTGCCTTGAATCTACACACACACACAAAAAAAAAAAAAAAAACCCTCCAATTTTGTCCCTTGGAGCAATGCCCTTTCAATAGTGAATAGTTTCACATGATTTCATGAACCTAACATCTCCCCTCATACCAACCTGCCTAACTAGGTAAATTCCCTAATTTAAAAGACACTCTGGAAGTCAGACAACTAACAGAAGGATCCGTAACCAATGTACAGAAAGTGAGGACTTCACAATAACAACATTTACAACTCTCCCTTGACAATTCTAAAAACACAAGTAACATAACTTAGACGTTTATAGAAACACTGAAGCAGGACTGGGGATATGGCTCAAGCAGTAGTGCGCTCGCCTGGCATGCGTGCGGCCTGGGTTCGATCCTCAGCACCACATAGAAACAAAGATGTTGTGTCCGCCGAAAACTGAAAAATAAATATTAAAGAAAATTCTCTCTCTTTAAAAAAAAAAAAGAAAAGAAATACTGATGCAGTATTTTCACACCTGTATAGCTACTTAATGTTCATACTTTTTCCAGTAAGAAATAAATCTTGAGCCTTAATTTCTTTGTTGTTAACTAACCTAACTTGTGAGAACATCAAACAAGGTAATGTGAAAGTGATTTTAGCCATAAAATACTCACATGATATGATTAATTAATATCACAATTTACTTTCTCCAGTTTTACTGTGTGCCCAAACTACAAAATGAAAGAATATTAAGAATCTGTGCACCTTAGTGCATACCTACTGTATCTGTGGGAGTGACTAAAAAATCTCAAAAGCAAATAGAATGTGTGCTAACATGTATGAAAGTTTAGTTGGCAGCAACTATTAATCCACTTTCATTCAACAAATATTTGATGAATTTCTACTGTTTTCAAAGTTCTCTTCTGAGTGCTGGCAAATAACTATAAATTAAATAGAGCCCCTCCTGCACAAGCTCCCCTTCAGGTGGGAGGAGACAGGCAATCATCACTTGGCAGTGCCAGGCAGTTGGAAAAGCTATGACAAACAAAGCAGGGCGAAAGGATTAGAGAGGACAAAACAAATGGTCAGAGATGGTCTCTGAGGAATTAGGAACAGGCACTTGATCAGAGACTCAAAGAAAGTGAGGTACAAAATAAAGTGGATGCCTGAAAGAACATTCTAGGCAGAGATACAGAGGAACTTCAAAAGCCCTGAACCCGGGGGATGGGGCTGCAGCTCAGTGGCAGAGCGCTTGCCTATGCATGAGGCACTGGGTTCCATCCTCAGCACCACATAAAAATAAACAAAAAAAATAAAGGCATTCTGTCCATCTACAACAACAACAAATTTAAAAAAAAAAAAAAAAAAAAAAGCTCTGAGAATGGGACATGCTTGGCATGTCTGAGGGGTGACAAGGTGGACAGTGTATACCCAGAGTGTAGGTGTGAGGGGAGATTAGAGAAAATGCATGACATGCATGGTCCTGAAAACAATGGTAAAGACATTAAATTTAAAAGTAGGAGTGAGATGGGGCTGGGGTTGTGGCTCAGTGGTAGAGTGCTTGCCTAATACTTGTGAGGTCCTGGATTCGACCCTCAGCACCACATAAAAATAAATACATAAATAAAGGTATTTTGTCCTTTACAACTACAACTAAAAACTAAATTGTCCAACTACAATTAAAAACTAAAATTAAAAAAAAATAAAGGTAGGTGTGAAAGGAGGCTATGTAAGGACTACAAGCAAACAAATGGAATGTCAGATTTGTGCTTTGATGAGATTACATAAGAAACTGGCTCCATGGACTACTTATCTGTATATTTTTTGAATTTTTATACATTTTAAGCTATTTGTTTTACTGTTTTAATACTTCTTTGAGGTTCAAAAAAGGAGGGCTGATATTTGAACACTAAATTTGGTGATGTAGAAATCATTGGGAGCCCTGACAAAGATAGTGTCTGGAAAGTATTGGAAAATAAAAACCTAATTTAAGGGGAGTTGAGGGAAAATTGAACCAAATGATTGTGGAGACAGCAAATATATAAACTCTTTCAAGTCTGTTATAAAATGAAGCAAAAAAATCCCCAAATGGACTGAAGTTGGAGAAGCAATCAAGGGTCAAGAGAGGAGATGTTCTCTCCTGCTTGGATGTAATGGTGAAAATTCAGAGAAGAGGAAAAACTTAATCTAGATAAGGGGTATTTGACAAAGGTAAATTTATGAGAAGTAAAAATAGAGAGGGTCTGCATAGGTGAAAAAGTCGATGTTTGTAGCAGAGACAGTATATTCCTTTTTTTCTCTCTAATGGTACAGGGGGATTAAACCCAGGGGTGCTCTACCACTGAGCTATACCCCCCAAACTTTTTTGTTTTATATTTTGAGACAGTTCTCACTAAACTACTGAGGCTTGTTTCAAACTTGCCATTCTCCTGCCTTAGCTTCCCCAGTAGCTGGGATTACAGGTGTGCACCCTGAACTTGGCTACTTGCCTTTTTAATATGAAGGAAGAAAAGAAAAATACATGTGTAGAGATATAGAAAAGTTGGTAGAGGCCTGGGATGTAGCTCAGTGGCAAAGTATTTGCTTGCATTCACAAAGTCCTAGGTTCAACTCCCAGTTACAAAAAAAACCAAAAAACAAATAAATAAAAAAGAAAAGGTGTTATTTGGTGATAGAAAATAAGGAAGTTTTCTAATGGCTTCTGTTTTCTCAGTGATTTTACAAGCAAGAAAGCTGAGGGTGAGTTGGGGATGGGGAAGAGATCTAGAAACTTCCCTTGGAGAAAGTATGAAATGATTGCTATTGCGTGCCAATTTTGTTTTTCCATGGGTCCTTATTTTCTAAGTCTTCCTTGACTGCTTTATGCTACCACTTTTACAGAGAAGAAGCTATGCTTACTTCATTTATTCTATATGTGAAAAAAAAAGCATGTACAAAGATTAGATATTGAAGACATAAAAAATTATTGCTATGATGCCGAGCAGCCAGAGCACTGAAGTCTTAGAGGGAAATGAAAAAAATATACAAACTTCCTGATTAACTATGAAATAATAAGTCACATTTTTGGCATACAGGAAGAGATGCATAAACATATATACAATTCATTAAATATCTTAACAAGCATATACTCATCAAGTATTATAGTTTTAATCCTCTAAGCATCCAATTATGTTACAATTATTACTTATATTTAAATTACAGTTTCACATTGGACACCTGGTTTTCCCAGTCCAGTCGCATAGTTAAATTTCCCCCTCAGTACTACCATTGCTTCACATTTTATGATCTAAAAATTCATCTTATTAAGGTAAAAAACTCAAATACTTTACTATTGTTTATATAACTTCTTTCAACCTTTTTAATTACCTACTAAAGGGAATGCTAACCAATGTTAGTTTCCTGAGTATTCTTCCTAAACTTGTATGACTAGCATTTACTACTAGTAGCATTGTATCTACCTAGTTACAGAAAAATAAATGTAACCTTTGAAAATAAATACACACGTCAAGTATCACAAAGAGCTTTTCTTTAGCCAATTTCAAGGTTACATTGTCCCTTATGTGTATAAATATTTAATACATTATTATGATTGAGACTACATACCCAATTGTTAACAAAATGTAAACTAAAGAAAGATCCAGGAGTGGTGGTATACACCTGTAATTCCAGCTACTCAGAAGTCTGAGGCAAGAGGATCACAATTTCAAAGCCAGCCTCAGAAACTTAGTGAGACCCTGTCTCAAAATAAGAAAAAATTAAAAGGGCTAGGAATGTGGCTCAATGGCTAAGCGCTCCTGTGTTCAATCCCCAGTACCAAAAACAAACAAAAAACCTAAGAACAAATTAATAAATATCTGAAAACATTTATATACTTCTGTTGCAACTAATTTACTAGGAATATTTATGGGTAGTCTCATCTTTTAACATTTACAGGAAACTAAACTTCAACTGTCCATTATAATTTCATGTTTTGCTTTATAGTTTTCCTTCCCCTGTGTCATCTAACACCTCTCCAATAGATCAGAATCCTCTTATGAAAGATTTTTGTAAATGATGGCATCTTCAAATTTTAGAAAGCTTCCAGGTGGACAGTTCTCCGTGTGAGCATAATTCCATTCTCCAGTCTCATGTAGAGGCAGTTGTTTTAATATGGCAATGAATATAGAAGCTATGTTTACCCATTGCGCACACTCAACAAATTGTATTATAATTGCTAACTTTCTTTTCTTGATCTCCCTTCTAAACTAAACTCTAAACCCTGAGAAATCAAGGACTGTGTCCATTTAGATCATCTTTGTCTCCTCAATCTCACATATAGTGAGAGGCCAATAAAACATGCTGAATCAATGAAAGTGCCTCTGCACTGTAGAGAGTGAATGTGAATAACTCCATAGCAATGCCACTTACCTGTGAGATCCAGAGTTCTATCCACAAAGACCACAGATGCCCTGCCTGTAGCATTCTTCCTTCTGTTCTTGGCAGGAGCATAATTGGCCAGATCTGCAGCGATGATCCGACTGAGGGAACCCACAGCAAAACACTCTTCACGTACCCCTAAATGCTCACAGAAAGAACTGAGACCCGACACGAGGCACCTGATCTGCAGCAGCAGCTTTGGAGTCAGGGTAGAGGCATCCACCTCACCCAGGCTTCCCAGCCTCCTCTTGTCCGGTCTGGCACTATTAAGGAGATGTACATCCTGGGGTAGCAGTGGGAAAAGGGAAGCAAAGGCCGGAGTTAAGGCAAGGTGCGGAGCAGCAGGGGCGAGCAACAATGGGACGTGCAGCACCTCGGCTGTGTAGTTCATGTTTCCCATCCATTCACACAGCTTCTCCTCCAGCTGCTCGAACACCGGATGCTGCCCCTCCAGCTCGGCAGCTGCAGCCGCTGGGACATGGTTAGCCGTGAGGTGGACAGCGTGGCTCACTGCTGTGACCACCACACAATACTGGAAGTGACTGCGGCATATTATGTCCCTTATGGTCTCCACAGTCCGACCTTTCAGCAGGCAGCTCAACACAAACACTGCCTTGGGCTGCTTGACTCCTCCACCAACTGCATCAGACTGGAACTCCCTCAGGTGAAACTCGGGACCACCCACAGCCTCTAGGAGCCGCGTGGATCCGCAGCCCCAGTGCAGGCTCTCGGCGCAGGCGGCATCCAGGTAGACCACAGCCCGTTTCACTTTGGCCAGCACCTGCTCCCAGCCTTGCTGGGTGAAGGACACCACGCCCGGGGCACTCATGGCCGGGATTCGCAGCCTCGGGAAAACTCGGGTGCAGGAACTTCTGGCAGAACTCACAGCTTCCGGAAATTGGGTGTCCTCAGACTTTGACAGTCAACACAGTACACGTGGTCCTGTCCTTGACGCGCCTGGTGACCGCGCACGGTGATGACGTAACTGAGCACTGATTGGCTAGTTAGGAGGCTAGAGGAAGGGTGGGCGGGACTGGGAAGAAATGGGCGGAGCTCCGTGGCCCTGGGCTTCCGCGAAAGTTCCAGAGAAGAAAAGGGGCTGTCTAGGAAAGAGCTGAACTACGTTACCTTTGTCCCCCATCTGTCTGCTCAAGTTACCTTTCCGTGCTCCCTGAGAAGTCTTAGGAATAACTAAACCTGATCTGAAGTTTAATATCTTTCTCGGATATGAACACATCTCTGAAATTACAGCCACTTTCCCCATATAAAAACAGCAACTGCTATGTAATAATTTGTAGTTGATAGGTTGCTATCACACGCGTTATTGTGCACACAAGCCTGTTTTTTGTTGTTGGTGGTGGTGGGTTTTTTTGGTTTTTTTGTTTTGTTTTGTTTTTACTTTTTTTTAGTTGTATGTGGACTCAATGCCTTTGTTTTTATGTAGTACTAAGATCCAACCCAGTGCCTCACCCTTGGGAGTCCCTGAGCTACAACTCCAGCCTGCAAACAAGCCTCTTAATAAATCTTATTTCCCTTTCTCCATCTATTCACCTGCATCTCATTATCACTAAATCTTGACGTGTTTCAAAACTCCTAGAAACTAGTTCTACCTCTCCATCCTTGCTGTCACATCACTCAGCAATATCACTCACCTGGACTAACACAATGATTGTCCCATGATTTCCCAGTTTTCCATCTCTTCCACCTTCGATTCAGGTTTCTTCCTAATAAACTAAGATGGTCCTTCCATTTTACTGCTTCAAAGCTTCACCTGGTCCAGTTGCCTATAAGATATATCCACATTCCTTCAAAGTTACCAAATCCTTCATGATTTCTCAATTTCTCTGCACTGATTCTCCCAGCCTGGAACATTATGTACCTGCATAACAAAATCAACGATTGACTCTGGAGAGTTTCACAGGCTCAGTTTGTTCAACCAATATTTATTAAACAATTAAGTGAAATCACTGTGCCAAACTCCAAGATGAAATGATTAATAAATCATAGGACTCACAAAGAATTTGCACCTGATAAACTCTTACCCTAAAAAACCATTCCAATTATACATTCCATGTGAGTGTTTTCCTAACTCACTACCTCTACTACCCTGTCCTCTTCTAAGTCTGCTAAGTACTTGCAACATCATTGGGTAAGTTTCAACATACCTATTTTCCTTAACATCTATTCTACTAGATTATGCACTAGACACCAAGGAATCCCCCAAATTAGAAGATAGTATGTGTTCTATAAGTGTTTGTTGAATGCTCAATTAATAACTTTAGATAGGGCAAAGGGGAGGGAGGGGAAGCAGGGTATAAGGTATGGGGGTAGGAAAGACTGTGGAATGAGCCAGACATCATTATTATAAGTACATGTATGAAAACACGAATGGTGTGACGCTATTTTGTGTTCAACCAGAGACATGAAAAATTGCACTCTATTTGTGTAATATGAATTGAATTGCATTCTGCTGTCATATATAATTAATTAGAATAAATAAATTTAAAAATTAAAAAATCCATATAATAAATATTCAGAAAACTTTTAATGAACTTGTACAGTATTCCAGACCCTGTGTTGGGTATTCAGGATATGAAGAGAAATAAGCTAATCCTTGTCTTCAAAAAGAATTATACTGAAATAAAAGAACTCATACCAAGTGCAATAAAATATCACAGAAGCAGTGATTTTAAAAAATACATAGGAGTTACTAGGGAAAGGAATAATAAATTCTGATTGAGTGAAAGAAAAAGGGAAGTGGTCAGAAGAAGTTTCATATAGAACATGAGTTTTTAGTTTCTTTCAAAGAAACCAGGTGTTTTGCAGGTGGACAAGATAGGGAGGAGTATTCCTGGTAGCCCAGGCAGAAAGTGCAACATGAAAAAAGTTGTTGAGGTATGAAACTGTAAAATGTGTTCTTAGGAACTACAAATAGGTTATTTTAGCTGGAGTGCACTGCATAAAGAAAGGTCTAAGAAAAATATGAACATGTAACTAGAAAAGGAACAGACAAGATCATGAAGCATCTTATTTTCTATTCTAAATAGTAGCAGCCAATTGGAAACTGTTGAAGTCTTTGGGTAGAAATTGCTTGTTCACCTCTGGATCTTATTTACTTATTTATTTATTTTGGTACCAGGAATTGAACTCAGGGGCAATCAACCACTCAGCCACTTCCCCAGCACTATTTTATATTTAGAGACAGGGTCTCACTGAGTTAGTTGCTTAGTGCCTAGTTTTTGCTGAGTCTGGCTTTGAATTCACAATCCTCCTGCCTCAGCCTGCCACTGCACCCTCCTGCCACTGCACCCAGCTCACCTTTGCATTTTAGAAAAATAGGTTAGTTACCAGCAACAACTATAGCTAAGAGTTGTTAGGGATAACAATAAAAGAGAATGACAGAGGGTGGTGTATAAGAGACATTTAAAAAACAATGCCAGGGCTGGGGTTGTGGCTCAGAGGGAGAATGCTTGCCCAGCATGCGTGAGGCACTGGGTTCAATCCTCAGCATCACATAAAAATAAATAAATAAGGATGTTGTGTTCATCACTAAAATATATATATATATATATATATATATATATATATATATATTTAGTTTATATATATATATATTTAGTTTATATATATATATATATATATATATATATATATTTAGTTGTAGTTGAATATAATGTCTATTTTATTTATTTTTATGTGGTGCTGAGGATCAAACCCAGCACCTCGCACATGCTAGGCGAGCACTCTACTGCTGAGCCCTAGCTCCAGCCCCCCCAAAAAATATATTAAAAAAGATATCCTGTCTACATATAACTAAAAAATAAATATTAAAAAAAATAGTGCCAAAAGGTTTGGTGAGTTATCTAGCAGAAAGAAGGATGCAGCAGGAGAATTTTAGGTTAGCACCCAGTGTGTGGATCACTGGTAAATGGCAGTGAATTATATTTGAAAAATCAGAAAAGCAGCAGATTGGGGAATAATATACTGAATTCAGTTGGAACATTTTTTAAAATTATGAGAACATATGCATATCATAACATTTACCATATTAACTATTTTAAAGTGTATAGTTCAGGAGCATTAAGTATATTCACACTGTTGTATAACAAATATCCAGAACATTTTATTTTGCAAAACTGAAATCCCATACACTTTAGACAGTTCTTCATTTCCTTCCCAAGCTTCTGGCAACCTCCACTCTACTTTGTTTCCATTAGTTGACTACTCTAGCATTCCACATAAGTGGAATCATACAGTATATGATTTGTTGTCTTATTCTAGTTAGCATAATGTCCTATGTTCATCTATGTTGTAACATGTGTCAGTATTCATATCCTTTTAAAAATTGATTAATATTTCATGGTATGTATATATAGTATCTATCCATTCACCTGTTAATGGACATTAGTTGCTTCCACCTATAGGTTATTGTCAATAATACCGCTCTGAATGTGTGTACCAATCTCTATATCCTGTCTTCAATTCTTTTGTGCATATATCTAGAAGAAAAAATGCTGAATCATACAATAATTGTTAATATTTCAAAAACATTAGTTCTGTTTTCCACAGTACCTGCAACATTTTATATTCTCTATGACAATGCACAAGGGTTCCAATTTCTCCACATTCTTTCCAACACTTGATACTTTCTGTTACTTTTAAAGTGGCCATCCTAATAGATATGGAGGCATATTGTTTTGAAGATATTTGAGGGACATCTGGGTAGAAACATCTAGTAAGACATTGGATATATGATTCTGGATTGCAGGAAATAAGTCTGATATCTGGGGAGTCATATGGTATGCTTGAGTTAGCTTTAAAGGAGCATGAAGAAGAGACATGATAATGATAGAAAATGGAGCAATTTCTCTGGGCAGGCAGAATTACAGTCTGTGTGAGAAGCCATGGGGGAAAAGTGTTTCCAGAATAGCATGATCCATGGTGGCCAAATGTCAGAGAAGGGGGAAAGGAGATAGAATCTGAAAAGAATACACAGGACTTGAACCTGTGCAGGAAGAAATTACAGACATGATGAGGAGCAACAGGGGTGCAGGTATAATCTTTCCAGGCTTCATGGTACAATCAGGCAAAAGATAATGGTGGGCATGTAGTATAAAAAGATGAGAAATGATGTCCTTGTCAATAAATTTTATAACTGAATATCAGTTTAAGTGAAAAGTAGGGTCATCTTTCTGCTAAATGTTTTCTTTCTTCTTTTTTGTGTGCTCTGCCATTTAGCCACACCCCTTTACAGCCCCTGATCCTTTCTACTAAAATATGAGATTTCTCGGAATGCACACTAAATGGAACAAAGGTAAAGACTGAATTAAATGCATCATTGGGAATCAGATCTGCAAGAACTGGAAAGGAATAAGCATAGATATTGTCTCAGTTCAAGCTGCTAAAACAGAAATACCATACACTGGATGACTTGAGCAATAGAGATTTATTTCTCACAGTCCTGAAAGCTGGGAAGTCCAAGATCAGAGTGCTGGGATTGACCAGTTCTGGTGTGGGACCTTTTCCTGGTTTGCAGATGGTTGTCTTTCAGTCATGCCATCATGTTGCAGACAACAAAGAGGAAGGGAGCAAGCTCTCCTGTCTTACGACGGACATGATATTCTTCCCTATCAAGGAGGGCTTCTTTTCTCCCCAAGGACCATCTTCAAACACCAGCATATGGTGGATTAAAAGGTTTCAACACAGAAATTTTTTTGTGTGGGTGGGGGACACAAACATTCAGTCCATAGTAGAGATGTGAAGGAACGACACTACAATGTTGACAAAAGATGATGAAGAATGGGGGGATAGGGAAGATCCCTAAACGTTGCTTAATGAATAGCCTGTGTAGCCTCATGAAACTTTAGGACATACCAGACCATGAAGGAGCTTGTAGGTCCCAAGGATTTGCATTTGACATGTCAGAGGAAGCCATTGAAGGGTTTTGTGTTACTTGAATTTCAGTATGGCAGTAG